ATGGAGAGCTGAGTTGAAGAAGTACTGGTGGGGTAACAGACAACTGAATCAGATTCCCTGGCTGACATCTGTGTCAACCGAGAAGGAAAAATGTGGAGGAGGGGGAAGTCGCCCCAAGCTCTGATACGGCATTTGCTGACACATGATATTGCTGCTTCAGTGTAAAACAACTCCACTTTCTCATTTTTTGTCTGTCTCCTACAAAAATGTAGTGAATGTTAATTTGTTGTTGTTCAGTCGCACAGTCGAGTCCGACTCTTCGCGACCCCATGGTCGTTAATTATGTTAATTATGTTAATTACTGCTGCCTTATTGTTACACCGTAGCCCCCAACAAGAAGTGCAGAACATCTTTAAAGCAAAGCATCCAATGGATACAGAGATCACAAAGGCAAAGGTTGGTAATGGTTCTGGTACTTGGCAATTACAATTGAAGTGGTCTTGATGTGGGGATGTCTCCCAGCCCCCCGCCCCTTCACTTTATGGAGACATGTGTTGCACTAATTAGGATGCCTGAAGTGACTAGTCAATAGAAAATATAATTGGTGCTTAATTCCTTAGTTACTTGATTCCCTGAAATGGAAACTGAGAAATGTTGTTTGCTCCCTTTAGAAAACACAGAAGAAGAGTCTTATCTGCCTAGACCTTTTAAGGGTTGGTCTCTGTTGTTGACTGCATGTCTGTTGCTTATAGATAAGTCCAGGCAGAGTCTTGAAGTTTGCACAGCCAGCTCTTGGTAATGTCCAGCAGTCTGGACTGGGCCTTTGAAGAAGCATAGTGTGCCAGCTGGTACTTTTGCTGCTGTTGGAGAAATCATGGGAGTGCATAGTACATACCTTCTCCAAGCAGTCCTTGTTAGTCAGCGATAGTTAAGAAAGGTTACGTGAAAGCTGTTGGTCTTGATCTGGATGTCCGTAGACCACTGTTTTTGTCTCTTCTTCCCCCCCGCCCCCAGCCACTCAACCTTTCATCTGGAAGCCAAAAGATACAGTCTCCCTGTTGGCTCTTTTCATTGACAGATCATTGGCTTTGGCACAGCTTTACTTGAAGAAGTGGATCCCAACCCTGCTAATTTTGTTGGAGCTGGTATTATACACACAAAAGCAACCCAGATAGGATGTTTGATGCGTCTTGAACCCAACCTGCAGGCACAGGTAGCAGCTTTGTTTGTCTATGCTGCACAGACTTGCAAGCTTTCAGCAGCTGTGTATTTTTTTCCTTAGGTGCTCAGTGGTTCTTACATTTGCATAGAAATTGTTTTCTCTGTTAATACAAAGACAGGCAGAATGCATTGTGCGTAAGACCCAGCTTTAGAAGTACCTCAGCTGGTTGGAGTATAACCTTGTGGCGATAAATACCTTACTCTATAGCTCCTCGAATACTACTCTTCAGTTTATTTACTACTTGCCCAAGCAAATTTGTTCTGTTCAGAATTTACACAGGTTTGCTAGTATAACCTTGTGGCGATAAATACCTTACTCTATAGCTCCTCGAATACTACTCTTCAGTTTATTTACTACTTGCCCAAGCAAATTTGTTCTGTTCAGAATTTACACAGGTTTGCTTTTCCCTTTAGTGAACACTTCGGCGATTTTACTCAAATCAGATGTATAGCTTGTTTTACTTTCAGAAGACCGCAGTTTCTGCAGGAGGTGGAATAAGTATAGCAAGGCCTTTTGAGTCCTGTGGCAAATGAGATGGGCTGGCAGACTTGGCCCTTGGCCTGCTTCCCAGTGAAGTTGAACAGTTTCCTGAACATCAGTTGAAATAATTAGTTTTCGTTTTGTAGAGCATCTGGCATGATTGTCCCTTTTTGCCCACCTAGCTGTAGTCCCAAAATATCTAAACATGGTGAGGAGAAGATCGTAAATAGGACAGGATCTTGAAAATAAGCACTCCAGTATCAGCCAAGTGTCATGAGCTTAAACACACCTCAACAGCCACTGTTGACTTTGCACCCTAGTGTTACATGTGCAAGTTATTTTCTGGAAACCTTGACTTGTCTTACAGCCGCCTTTGAAAAGACTGTTCCATTTTCTTCCAGATGTATAGATTAACACTGCGAACGAGTAAAGAGACAGTATCCCGAAGATTATGTGAATTGCTGTCAGAGCAGTTCTGAACAGTGAAGCAAGATCAGGTTTGATTCTCCATTTAACATCTTATTACCTTGTCACTTTCTTATTATTTTCCACTTGTTCTACTAGAGTAGTAACGTATAATATACCATATAATAAATCCAGATATATTTTAGAAGGACCTTAAAAGTATCCATACATATATATATTTTTGAGAATGCTCAAGCCATAAAATTTTTTTAAAGATGTATCCAATCTGCATAACTAGTATTTGCTGGTAACACACCGTTTTCTGTAAAATATGTTATAAGTGGACTCCATTTTCGATTGAAATTGGCATGGGATCTCGCATATCCTTGTATGTGGGACTCATATTTATCTGCTACTTTATCCATCACATCAGCCACCTTTGAAAAGACTGTTCCATTTTCTTCCAGATGTATAGATTAACACTGCGAACGAGTAAAGAGACAGTATCCCGAAGATTATGTGAATTGCTGTCAGAGCAGTTCTGAACAGTGAAGCAAGATCAGGTTTGATTCTCCATTTCTGCCATCGTCCTCGTCCTGCTCCAGAAATGTCTTGTGCACCAGTGTCTGCAAGAACGATTGCTGCCACATTCACATCCCTGCCTTAAATGGACCTGTCCCTTTTTATGTGAAATATGTACAGTATAAAACTACTTTAAACGTGAAGAAGGCTTTCAAACGTCTGCTGCGGGGGGAGGGGGGGATATTATGTGTTTCAACTCAGCCATGCTCTGTGTACGTTTGCCAAAGTTTGGATTGCTTGAGAATTGCAGATCGCCAAGATGGTTAATGCTGAGAAGGGACAAGGAAATGCCACCGTAAATTCCTGGTAGTACACTGCCTCCAACCCATTTTTCTAGCATTCTTCTCAGACAGGATGCCCATAGGTTTGTGCTCTAAGGCTGTGAGCTGTACATGGCTCATATTTCATGAAAATGCACTAGAAGAGTAAGAGTCCAGGGTATGGAAGGGCAGTATTAGATACTGCCTTCATGAATGTCACCGGTATCTCTTTTGCAAAAACATTTAACAGGGACATTGGGTATTTGACGTCTAAAAAGCATCCATAGTCTTGACTCCTAGTTTAATCTTGTCGAGTAACTTGCATCAGAGTCCACACACTTGTCCAATATTTTTTCAGGTTTGGAACTACCAAAGAGTACTTGTCTTGACAAATCTTTCCAGGAAAAAAGGTTGGGATCTTGGCACGAGGTGCTTTCTAAAGCTATAGAGAGTTGGTCCAATAAAACGTTCCTTAACCTAGGTTATAATAACCTCTCCTAGAGATGCTATACATATTTAAAAAAACCTCCCCTTGTTGTTGCTAGTATGGGTTTTCCATTTCCTGCTCACTAACCATATGGCTAGCTGGTTCTGGTGGTGGAGTGAGCCCCTAGTCAGATGTGAATGAAATTGTGGGCTTCTGCAAGAATGAGGGGCCTTGATTGTTTCGGAGCAACACTGTCACATCACCAGTGTATTTTCTGCCTGAACTTGTCAGCTAGTTCAAAAAGCCAATAAAGATTGCACTAACAACGGCTTTCATAATAGTATGCATTAAATCTTACACAGAAGCAGGTCAGTTCTGAAGCACACATATTTTGCTTATGTTACTCACATCCGTGCGTGTGGGTGCATGAGAGAGAGAGAGAGAGAGAGAGAGAAGTCCTGTTAAGAAATGGGTCTACAACTTGGTCGTGGGCATCAAACAGATCCATATTGGGCAGATCTGATAGAAATGTCCTTGCTGTTTGAATTAAGTATTAAAAAGAAACTCATTGCTTAACTGGCTGGAGTTCTCTCATCAAGACTACATTACATTTTGTAAAAATAGGTCTCCTCTTAAAGCGGGTATTGGCTTAAAATCTGTTGAGGTTTTTTTTTTAACGGGGGTAGGTTCTACAGCCACAGTTAAACTCAAGCACATTATATCAAGTTATTTGGTGTATAACTGGATAAAGTAATGAAAGTAGGATAACTGCCACATTCCTGTCACTTAAACCCCGGGCATTTCCATCATGGCTTTGTAGTACCATTGTAACCTGTACAGTATTAACCAGTATAAAAACATAAGGTCTTCTGAAGTTTGCCTTGCCGTATGTCAGATGTTTGGACGAACTGTCATCTTGTTTATAACGCAAGTCTGTCACTCTGGAGCATGGGTCTGTTTCCCTCCTTTTAAGGCCGCTGTTGTCGCGTCCTGTTCACAGGTACAGTTTTTTTGGTGAAACCTCCTTTATCCCCACACAGAGACAGCAGGCTAAAGAGCAGAAGCACGAGTGACGGGGCTATAATTGGTAATTCAACCTTACACAGTGGGCTTTGCCTCTGATATGAGCCATATCAGCATTGTTCTGAAGAAGACTCAGTGGGATAAATGACCTTATTACCAAAGTTGTGTATCAGTCTGTCCTGAGCAGAAGCAATAGTTTCTGTGGATAAAGCAGTATTAGTAACCAAGGTACAGTATTTGCATTGTCGACACGTGAAGTACCTGAACAGGAAGACAAAATTGTTCACTCCAATGTGTAATGTGTAGTCATTTTCACTTTTAAGGCGGGAAAAAAAATAATCACAAGCTTCTATGGTAGACTCTCATTATGATTGTATAAAGTTTGAAAATATATAAATTTAATCATGTTGCTTTAATGGAAAAATAAATGTCTATAGAGTGAAATGTTCTATTTCCTTATTTAAAGAACTGGTATGCATTTAATATGCAATAATACGCTGAAAGCATGTAAGAATGACTTAACTGTGAACTTGTTCCCTTGCAGTGTGAATCATTTACATGTTTGTTTAAATCTCAATCTCTCTCTCTCTCTCTCAGAAAAATTCCAACTCCTCTACCTAATAATTAAACAGAGCCTTTATATTATTCCAGAGCAAAACAACCAGTTGATTCACACTTTCTGCTTTACAGAATTATTTAGAGAGCGTAATTAAGAAACCAAAGACGAGTGTGGCTCCAAGAAAATTGGATCAAATTTATAGTTGAAATGTCCAGAATGTTTAGACCTGTACTAAATGGGCAGTAAAGTGTTTCTTCCATGACATGAACAGTAAATCTCCATTTTGTTAAATCTAAATATTTGTAACTTGTGCAACGAAATACAACGTGCATCACACCTGTAATACTTGTCCTGAAGTCACATTTTGTCCCTGGTTTGTTATTTTATGTAGAAAAGTAGGCAAACGATATGCAAAAGGGGATCATGGAAATGACTTTAAGAATCTGAGGGCAGACCTCAGTCAGTTTTTCATTATTGCATTCATATATATTAAACTTGGTTACTGATGCTGGGCGAAATTGATTCCCTCCCCCCCCAAAAAAATCTAGTGTTAAAGAAAATGTCATGGTTATCAGTGCCGTTTGCTTTTTGCTTGCTCCAGAGTTCTTCCTCTTGAGAGAACACATGCTGGCCTGAGGTGTCTTCATGGCTACCTGCTTTCTAGCAGAATCTTCCTGGCCCCGTGAGAGAAAAATTGTGTTCAGAACTGGATATGTGATTCAGTTACTTCGCCCCGTAATTAGGGGCCATGACTGTGTGAATTCTGACTTCCATCTTGAGATCATCGCATGTAGAACCCTGGAGGTGGCAGCCAGATGTGGACCAAATACCCTCTCTGCTTTTCTAAATGCAGTTTTCTGATAAAATAATTCCTACACTAGAATTAGATACAAATTCGTAATAGTATTGTCTGTTTTGCTTATGCATCTCTACACAGGCTGGCGTTCATCTTGCCACTTCATGCAGTGAAGTTTGGCATAGTGGTTGGGTGCGCGAACTCTGATCTGGGAGAACCGGGTTTGATTCCCCACTCCTTCACTTGCACCTGGCTGGATAACCTTGGGCAAGCTGTAGTTCTGATAAGAGCTGTCCTTGAAAAAGAGCAGTTTCTGTCAGAGCTCTCTCAGCCCCACCGACCTCACAGGGTGTCTGTTGTGGGGAGGGGGAGGGAAAGGAGTTTGTAAGCCGCTCTGAGACACCTTTAGGTAGTGAAGGGCGGGGTATAAATCCAATGTCTTCGCTTCTTCTTCTTCTAAGTGCTCCTTTCACTGGAGGAAAAGTCAGTTAAGTCGGAGGAAAGCTTCAGACTTGGCTGAATGGAGAAGAAGGATTACAAGCCTCTATTTCATACATATTCTCTGGGCAAATCACAGCCCCTTAGCTTTATTAATGGAATCAGGGTGTCTATATCAGTTTCAGCCTTGCTCAAAATGATTAAGTTCTGTAATTTAGAACTTTGGTGAAAAGCCATGGGCAAAAGTAAAAAGTGTTCCAGAGTTCTTCGTTTCATTGACTTTAAAGCAGGGTTTAAATGCAACGACTTAAAATCATGATTGGTTATCTGTGTAAAATTCTACTAAGTTCACCTTGGGTGACTGGTACTGGTACTATGCTTTGTATTCAAATTGAGGCCCAGATTTGTATAATTTAAGAAGGCATGGTATCCAGGTCTATATTGATGTTTGCCACTTTGAGTCCTCTGACTAGGGGGGAAATGGGATATAAATAGTTTAAATAAAATTAAACATTTAGGATTTGTGAACAGTGACCAGAGCCTTGCATTTATTCGTTAGATAGAATCAGATGGAATTAATTGTGGGTTTTTTTTGGGGGGGGGATGTTAGGTCTTGACCAAAGTCTAGAGAAACCACATCTGGGCACACAAAAAATCCTCAATTAAGGTTATTCCCGAGAACTTGTTTTGGTAACTTTTTTCCATTATAGAAAATCACGACTCTAAACTTAATGTGGGCTAGTCTTCCTCCACATTATTGGTGTGTTATCCAATGTACTATTTCAAAAGTTATCCCTCCAGTGCAAGCTTGGATAACATTTCTGTCTGGAAGGTACATATCCCACTTGTGAAATGGCCTGTATGCTTTTTAAGAATCATAATAGATGAGCAGAGGTCATTTCGGGGGGGGGACGCAGTCCCCCCGGGTGAGGTGCAGGGGGGCGGGGCACATGACGAAGCCCCACCCCCTGCTTCCGGCCACCCGCTTCCAGCCCTCATTCAGCCAGGAG